ACGATATAGAGCCATAATATTTATGCCAGAGAACTCCCCCCTTTCTACCCACCCTACCCTTTTCTTACAGACGTTTATGGCGTCGCTCTGACGATTCGATCGTCTCAAGATCGAACAGCTATAGTGAAAATATGCCACTCTTAAGACCACTCCTTATCTTTAGTTTATTGTACGTGACTTCGATACACTCGTTTCTTTCGTTCTCCTATTTTTTTTTCTTATTCTTTCTTTGACATGCAACTAACTAATAAAAGATAAACTTGAAAATGGAAAAACAGGACAAAAAGAAGAAAACATATATGTGTGTGTATATGTTCATCAAACTGAAAACATTTCTCAAGGTTTTGTAAAAAATGGGATTTTTTTTTTTAAATTTCAATATTTTAAGACTCGACGACCTTGCATTAATTAATTCTCACTCAATAATTAACCAGTTCAAATTTATATTCTATCGTGGAAACAAAGAATGGATCTGTCGATTTAAATGCTAAACTCGTATATCGAATCAAGGATAACACTGAGAGATCTCAATATTGATACGGGTTAATTTACAGTATACTAGGTGTCCCAAAAGTTGTTTTATCTAAATAAAAAATTATTATTTTACAATGGCAACTCATCATGGGACTCGTAGCTAAACTCGTATCGAATTAAGGATAACACTGAGAGATCTCAATGTTGATACGGGTATCGTCGGATAATTTATAGTATACTAGATGTCCCAAAAGTTGTTTTACTTAAATGAAAAATAATTATTTTATAATAGCAACGCATCATGCAGCTGACATTCTTGTTGGGGTAACAGAACATCAATACTTTAAAATGAAATAAATAATTTGTTCTAATTGTATAAGTATAATAACGATTATGTTCTCATTTCGTTTTTCTTTTCTCATTAAAACAACTTTTGAAACATTTTATAAACACTTGTTTACTTTGACCATTGCTCTGATACAAATGGTAATTTCTTTCTATCTCTTTTTCTATTTTACATAAATGTTCACTGTTTATAAGAAGTTTTCTAGTAAAAGTATCAAAGAGAAACGAAGAAGTAAGCAACCAGGTGGTCGGTCGGTGGTGCAAACGTTATTACAAGATACTTTTCTTCCACGGCGTTCCGTCCTGAACGTTCATGATTGACGGCAGCATAAATCTTTGTAATAATTAACGTCGTTGCGGAAGAACTTGGATGCGTCCGGTCGTTAAGCGAAATGCATTAACAATATATCTCATGTGGGTGAAGGTAGAAAAGTAATTATATATGCAACCGGCATTTGAAATTGTACACGTACGTAGGACTAGTTGGCTTCCTTATTCGTTAGTTCTCATAATTCGCCTTCTTTTTCAAGACAATCTACGTACAATCTAAAACTATTATTTTATATATATATATCATCTAATCTATAATAAACTAATCTAATCTATAATCTAATCATTGATCTAACATAATACACGAGTATTATTATGAATCACACATTTGAAGACTTTCTTAACGTTTCGAACATTCTATTAATTTATATTAAAATGAATTTGTATTTATTTCATGTGTTTATTTTATTAATAATATTAGATTGTTCAGAGAATTTCTAAGTTTTTTTGCTGATAAGTTAAACAATATTGCATGCGTAATATACTTTTTTTGTGTATTTTATTATATATA